TCCTGTGCACCCTCCCAGATTTCCCTGGCTCCCCTGGGACCTCCAAGACCCCCCGATCCCTCCCAAACCTTTTCCAAGACCCCCCTAGGCCCTTCTGGACCCTCTCCAGGTCCCCGCACCAGACTCCCAGCCTGTCCCAACCACCTTCGTCCCCCCCCAGGTCCTGGCACCCCCCTCTCCACCCTGCCCTGCTGAGGTAGAAGTAGCCCAGGCACCCTCGCAGCCCATGGCATCCCCTGCTGGGCCAGCCCCCCCCAGCTCCTGGGGATGCTACAGATGGGGACCCCGCCCCCTCGGCCCCGGTACCTGCAGGCCACATGCTGGGGTTCACCATGACGGGCCCTGGTGTAGGGCCAGGGGAGGGGCTGGGGGGTGGGGGGAGTTCCCGGCCCCCATCCCCCCCCAAAGCCGGGAGCAGGAAGCAGCTGGGAGGAAGCAGGGGGTGGAGACACACACGTGTGCGAGTGGCGCACGCGCAAGCTGGCGCGCACAAGAGGTGTGTTCATGGAGGCAAGCGGGACATGCAAAGTGCCAGTACCCCCCCACACACACGTGCACACATGTGTGCACCTGGGGCGGGGCTGGTACATCCATGAAGGTGAACACATATGCACACACACGTGTGGCCCTGCGAGCACACGTGTGTGTTGGAGAATGGGCCTGGGGCACACACAAGAGGGCCAGGACTCAGCCTTGTGCACACACATGGGAGTGTGTGTCACAAGTCCGCCTGACTTGCACACGAGTGTGTCCTCCTTGCACACATGCCAGGATGGGATGCACACGGAGGTCCTGGGCCAGGGCCTGATCTGCCCCCTGTGCCCACCAGGGGGCAGCACAAGCCTTCAATGGCTTCACACCCACACCGTATGCTTGGGACAGACACACAACAGGGTACGGCCACAAAACATAACCACACAACATGACACAACTGCACAACATGGCATGGCCACACAACACTGCACAACATGGCACAGCTGCACAACATGACAAAACTGCACAACATGGCATGGCCACACAACACAGCATGACTACACGACACGACAAAACTGCACAATATGGTGTGGCTGCACAGCATGACACAACCACAGAACCGCACAGCCGCACAACATGGATCAGCCATGTGACACGGCACAGCCTCACAACACCGAAGAGCTGTACAATACAGCACAGCCGCATGGCACAGAATAACCACACAACATGACACAACTGCACAATGTGGAAGAGCAACTCAACACAACATGGCACAGCCGCACAACACTGAAGAGCTGTACAATACAGCACAGCCCTGCAACATGGCACAGCCACACAATGTGACACAACTGCACAGCTTGACTGTACAACATAACACGACCAGCAAACCTGCTCAGTGACACAGCTGCACAACACAGAAGAGCGGTACAACATGGCCCAGCAGCACAACACAACACGATACAGCCGTGACATTGTTGCATGATGTGCCCCAGCTGCCTAGCTCCGCTCAACATGGCACAGCCAGAGGGCCCAGAAGAGCCACCTGTCACTGCACAACCGCCCAGCACAATACAACCACACACAACTGCAGGCAGAAGATGGCATGAGTATGAGAGGGGACAGGGCCTGAGTGTGCACCAAGCCATTCCCCAGGGCACGCAACCTCACACACGTGTGTGTGCACATGCACACACTCAGACAGGTGGATGGCAGGCTCTGGGGACCAGGGGCGGGGGGAGAGGGTTGTGCACTTGGCTAGTCAGTGCCACTGCTGCCTTCACACACACACCCTGCTTTTGCACATGTTTGTACACTCACTGCCCCCCGCAATGTCAGGACAATGCTGTGCACTGAGGGGGTCTGTAATGAGGCTGTGTTGTACATGAATTGGAGGGAAGGGGTGGGGGTGTAGCACACGCGTGTGCATAAGTCAGTCCATGTGCATGCATGGTTGAGTGTGCACCTGGTGTTGGGTGCATGTGTGTGTATGTTCTGAACACCTACCTGGGTTGTGTGCATGTGTGTGTATGTGTGTACTGCACCTATGTATGACTTCGACCTGAGTGTGTCAGCCCATGCTTGTGCTCCATCCCCATGGCCCTGCATCCATGACATGCAAGTCTGGGTGTGTCACATCAGGGTGCGGATGTGCCCATGGCAGCTCCTGTGTGTGCAGTGCAGGTGTGTCAGCCTGGGGATGGAAGCACAAGCTCTGCGTGTGGTCACACATGTATCAGGACTGCGGGATGTGAGTGTGTGTGGGCGCGCGCACGTGTCCCAGATGCCTGGGTTCCGTGTGTGTGTGTGTGTGCATCAGACAACTGGGTTCTGAGTATGTGTGTACGTGTCCCGGACACCTGGGTTCTGTGTGTGTGTGTGTGTGTGTGTCCCGAATGCCTGGGTTCTGTTGGGGGGAGGTGTATGTGCACGTCCTAGACACCTGGGGGTGAGTTTGTGTGTGTGCATGGGTGCATGTACCAGACACCTGGGTTCTGTGTGTGTGCACGTGTGTGTGGGTGTGCATCCTCGTGCATGTTGTGTGTGGGGGGGGAGCAGCTCCAGATGGATGGGGGGGACATAGACCATGCCACTCTGCAGGGAACCAACCCCCCCACAACAGACCCCAAATTCATGTACACGGAGGGAACCCAGGTGTCCAGGCCGCCCCACCAGTATTTGAGTGATCGGTGGAGCTGTCCATCACCCACACCATCTCCACCTGCCTGCTGGGGCCTATGCTGCCCTGGGGTGGGGGGCAGAGGTCACGGTGTGAAACCCCTGCCCCTAGGGCACAGTGGTGGCTGAGGCCTGGCCTACTCGTGTCACCCGCCAGCGCCTGGACAACAGGGTCCCGGCCCTGAAAGCCCCCTCTAGGCTTCATTAAGAGACCTACCCCTGTTCCACCTCCCCGGCTCACACGAGAGCACCTGGCCACCCTCATGTGACACGAGGCCCGGCACGTGCTCATGCCCCCCTCCCCCGCAACACATCCTCGTGCAACACGCATGTCCACAGACAGACAGATGTGGGGGTGGGGTCTAGGCCCCGGAGGGGGATGAATGGATTGGGGGGGGCCAAGGCAGAGGTAAGGGGGTTATGCTGGACTCAGGGATGGGCAGGGGAGGGGGTTGCAGACCCCCAGTGGTGGGGGGTGGCCACGGCGCTGGAACAAAGGGCTGGGGCTCAGCCAATGGCAGCGCCCAGCGCCACTGACCTTTACGGTTGTGATTTCAGGGGCGGGGGAGGGGGCTCCGCACACGGGCACGTGGGGGAGGGGGCTGGGGCACCCCCGAGCCCCCCACTGTAGGGGGGAGTGGGCCGTGACCCCCCACTCCGCTCCAGCTGCCAAACTCCTAGGGCAATGGGGGACTCTTGCACACGCGTGTGAAATGCACACATACAACGCCCCTGGTAGGTACAGCCTCGCACGGGTGCTCCCTCGTGCGAGGGACGTGGCATG